CCCCGCCCAAACAGCAAAACAAATGACACCCGAAAAGCCCAAACAACAAAAAAGACCAGACAACAAACAAATAAACACTCTTACCGTAGGGAATATGAGAGTATGTTATGTAGGATAGGGAGTCTATAGGGATTACATTTTTGATATAGTCCATTATTTCCTACTGACCCCCGGTACGAATGGGTTTTGGGTGTAGGATTCGATTTTCTTGGTTACGGCTTTGCTTTTATGTAGGATGCCCCAAAAGGAAACCCTTTGCCTGCAGATACAACATGTGGTCTGCACGGGAAAGACTTGGGCAACCAAACTGAACCCTAAACCCTTGAAGCCTGAATCCCAAACCTTAAATCTTAAATCTCACACTATATGAATGAAACCTCAATGCCCCAGGCCCCAGACCCTAGCCTCTGCAACCTAAGCACAAAACTTCGACAACGCAATCCCCCAAACCCTAGGCCCCAAACCCTAGACCCTACTTGGAGGTCCATGGGTTGTCACAACCGATTTTAATTGCATTCATAGCCCAGTCACCCCTGAAGTCCCCTTATGCCGTCATAATTCCCTGTGTATCCCTAACTTTAGAGTTCAGGGTTTTAGGGTACAACCCATGGAGACGCACATTCGAAGCCCTGAAGGTTGACTTCCACAATGAGATGGAGGGAACCTCCACGAATCTGTCCACAGGAAAAGCACGAGCCCTGTGCTTCGTACCAAAAGGCCAGGACTTGGCGTGGTAGGGAACTGGTACCCTCCGGTTCCCTGAAGAGGAAGTAGAGATGAACATCAGGTTTAGAGTCGGGCACTTAAGGCTTAGGATTGTGCTGCAATGTATCAATTGCGTCGCGTCATGAGACTGCAGGGTAGTTTTTTGGCGGGATCTCGATCAGGGTGCTGAGCATAGCCTACCTAAACCCAACGCGGTGTGGCGTTGAAGGCATTTAGGCATGGAGTTCATAGTTTGAGGGCTTCAGGGCCGAGTACAGGGTGTGGGGTTTCAGCTTTTTACTGAATCCTAGGTCCTCAATCCCGAAACTTGAAGCCCAAATTACATCGACTTCTGAATTGCAGGCATTTTTTCCTGTGACTCTGGCTGCTCTAGGCCAATCTCCCCCTTGCGACGAGGGCGAAGAACAGCAGACTCAGGTTGCTGAGGCCTTTGCAGCGTTGAGAAATTTAGAAAGTGGGGTTTCAGCCGTATGCATTGGGGTTGAGGGTTCAGGATTTAGGCTGAGGGTTCAGGGTTTAGTGATTCGGATTTAGGGTTTGGGGATGGGGGTCCAGGGTTTCAGCCTGGGGATTGGGGTTTGGGGCTAAGGGTTCGGGGTTTAGGGTGTAGGGTTTAGGGATTGGAGGAAATGTCCCTGGATTGTAAAGGCATCATGTTATAGAGGTGGTGGTTTTGGATTTAGGGTATTGGAGTGGAGAGTTCAGGTGTTAAGGTTTAGGGCTTAGAGCTTCATAGCACAGCCTGTGCTTCAACAAAAAGTTTAGGGTCAAGGGAACAGGGGCTCGCGTGAAGGTTTCGGGGTTCGTGACTCAAAGGATTTTGGGTTGTAAAATCTACACTAGCCCTGGGTAATCAGAGTTGACGGAAAGGCCTGCCATGCCCTGATTCCCTCTTTGCAAAACCTTGAGCTCAAGCCTTACTTTAACTTAAAACCTTAAGCCCCAACCCCTAAATGCAACACCTCGCACCCCTCCCCCACAACAAACTCAAAACACTACATCGTAAACCTTAAATCCTAAACCCTTGACCCTAAACCCTTAACTTTAAATCCTGAACTGTAAACCCTTGAACCCTAAACCAACAGCCCGAACCCCGAAGCCTCCAAGCAGGCCTCCGGTGCGACGGTCGACCGACCCATGCAAGCTACCAAGGCCGACAGCAACCTCCCCACCTGCCGCTGGCCTGAAGTGGGCTATAGTCTAAACTCCTTAAAGGGGGTTATGCAGGGGATTAGAATTTAGGGATTAGGGTCTAAACTCCTTAAAGGGGGTTATATAGAGTATTATATACTGTTTAGAGTTTAGGGTCCAAACCCTTAAAGGGGGTTTTATTGGTGATCATGCCAGTATGATTTCTTGGAGTCGCGCAGCAGCATGGAGAACAAGCATTGTGATCTGCATTAAAACCAAGGACGGCATTGCATATATTCTAGACAAGAGCAAAAAGAAACTCTTCTGAAAGGCGGGGGGGCTACCGAGCGGTCCTTTTGAAATTCATATGCGCAACCCGGCCCAGGCTACTACCTGGCAACCGCCACCACCACCCAGACATATGAGGGAGAATACCAATGGATGATTGAGCTTGAGAAGGGCTGGAGCGCGTGGATGCCGGGGAATGAGCCGTTTGATGGCAACACCGATCAGACTCTCCGGTACACGCTCGGCCGGTGGCTTGGCAGAAATCCAGCAGGAAAAGGATTGGTTTGAATGGTAAGGGATGACCAGTGCATCTAACTACATGGTGGCAGTCAAGTCATCGGCGGTGAGAGCACAGGTATGACTTTGAAGTGCACTTCGAAGACGACAGCCGCGGCACGCAGACCAACCTAACAACAGGCAAAGTGCGCCGCATCCAGCGCTTGCGCAAGGGTGAGTCCGTCCCTGCCTGGGAGGGCACAGGCATCCGAAGGCGTCCAGCCACAGGAACTGCGGCTGATCTCGCTGCAGCGCCATCCGATTCAGCAGCCATGGTTGCGCAGTCCGACCGCGCGGTGCGGCGTGGTGCGGCCTATCCCGCAGGTGGCGCCCCCGTGAAGACGCAGAAGTTTGCTCTTCGCACCTCCAAGCCGGCTTCAGCTGCCCGGCCCCAGGTTTCAGAGGCAGCCCACAAGGCAACCGCTGCTCCACCACGTGCGCCGGTGGCCACGAGCACGGCTAGCAGTGCTCCTGGTGCAGTACCCCGCTTCATGCGGCCGCTGAAGTCCAAGGCTTAGATTCAGATTTCCCAGGAATTTGATGTTTTCTTCAGGCTCGCTTGATCAGGCACTTGCCCTGACATGTGGAATGTGCTGAGACTTGCAGTAAATTCTTCGACATGGTTTGTTCGCAGTTCTTGGGCCATTGTACAGCACTTGCTCGAGAGCCTGCGAGGTCAGCTGCAGAAGGCACAAATCTTTCTGCACTCTTTCAGACAAATCTTTGGGGCATTGCTTCTAAGAAGCTCTACAATGCGGACCGCTGTCAAAGTCATGGGCCCAATCAGAACCTCTCATGTGCATACAGGACACCGACTTGCGCCCTCGACCTTGAAGACCGGTCATCCTTAGTCTTCAGCAGGTGCTTTTGCCTGCTGGTGCAACTTTCTATGTTTAGACGCTGGTGTACGTCTTTTCATTGCCGCGATTTCAGCCGTGCTTCAAGATTTTCAGAAGCTGGGAAGTCGTCTGCAGTGAAAGCCTCGGTGCAGAAAAGATGCAGTGCCTGGAAGCTGCGCACAATCTCGAAAGAGGGTAGCCTTCTTTTTAAGCAACCTTCCGAACCACATGCTTGCATTGACTTGTGAATGCACACATGGTTGCAGGAGTCTTCTTGACTTACTGGTGGCTAGCAGGGCCTGGACGAATAAGTCCCTACAGCAGTTCATTAATGTGTGACCTTTTCTGTCGTCCTCACATACCCCCCTGCGCCCAGTAACCCTGAACCTTAAATAAACATTACAGTCCCTCTAACCCATACTCCGTAATGCCCTCCTAGCCACTAGTGAGTTGAGTATTCCCCTCCCCCTAATATTAGACATTTCCAAGATAGTGTCGTACTTAAAACCGAATCCCTCAACCCTAAGTTCAATATATTATAATATACGGCAATGGGGAGTATTTACTATGGGGGGGGGTCGTGGGTTAGAAAGTCGAGGCTAGGTTCTTTGTTTTTTTGGTAGTTGTCCTAATTATTGACCTACTTACTAAGTCTCCCTGACCCTCCAACTAGGCCCTTTGAAAGGGGTGAGCAAGGGTAAGCGATCCTGGTTCTTGGTGGGGTAAGTTATGTAGGAATAATGGAGGGCCAAATGCAAGATATATCGAATGGAGACTAGTATTACGCAATGGTGAGGTGATGTTCTGCTCTAACGGGAGGCGATTGATGATTCTTGATGCCAGGCCTCGGAGACAAGGGTGAGGGCGACGATGTGAAGGCATGCGTCTGTGCCTCAGCTCACCCTAAACCCTAAGCCCTAAACTCTGTGCATCTCTTGGCTAATTAAGGTTTTGTAACCTTCCAGCTTTCGAGTGCCTTGTGTCAAAGGGCGGAGGAGACACAAGATGTCACAAGGCCCTTCAACTGTTTTTTGCAGGGTGTTTGTATTTAAAAGTGCAATCTACACATCTCCTTCTCTCTCTCCCTCTCTAAATGCGCATAGGCTGATTTGTGCATTGTAGACCGTTTTAGAAAGGGTTTGGGGTTTCTTTGAATCGGGGGATCCCTTCTCTGGGGTTCTGATGGGTTGTATTTTGTTTAGGGGTACATATGAGTTGCTCTTAATCATGAGCCCCTTTTGGTGACAGACTACAGTACTGCACCTAATGTTTAAGGGTTCCAAAAAGGGACCTTAATTTTGGCAATTACCCATCCCTAGGTGATTTCTGCAGTGATTGTAGCAATGAAGCTTACAACTGTACAAGATCCCAAGATCCCCGAAGATCAATTTGGGGTTGGTGACATTTGAGTTTACAGTTCAGGGCCAGTGGCTTAAGTTTTCAGATTCCTCTTGTGATTTGATGTAGCCTCCCTGAGGCCTAGAGCAGTACATGTCGGGCCAACTTGTGTAGGGTGTCGAATCTTGTTAAGGTATTGTCTTTGCAGACCTCACGCCCGTCCTTGCCATTGAAGCTTCATGGGTGCTTATAAGTTATCAGGGGGTACTGCCCCCAGTCAGAAATAATTGGGTAATAGCTATGATGCAAATTCATCATCATAGAGCACTTAGCATCACCTTCTTAGACATTGTTAGAGACTGTCACCGACTGTGTGGGAAATGCCCGAATGACAAGTGGGGGTAGACATGGGAGGCTCTACTCCCCCCTTGGTTGGGGACTTACAACCTCACTTAGAAGTATCGGTCGATATGTGCTGCTTACATAGTGGGGGTTCTTTACAAGCCTACTTCTAAGTACACAGAATCCCATGATACATTCCTATATCCCACTTGTTTATTCCCAACCCTACATAATCCCACCTAGAACAACCCATGAATGCTCAAGCAAGGCAAACTTCATTGAGCGGGTGAATGCTGCGGTGCTTGAAGCTTTACCAGCAGAGCACGGAGCTCATCAAGGGCTTTTTGGTGTACCCAATCTTAGGGATTACAGAAGGGGTCACCATGGCGTAGGACGACTATGGAGTAGCAACATTCAGGGTTCAACCCGAAACCCTAAACCCTAAACCCTAGGAGGGTTCAGGACCATGAGGCTTTAGCAGAGGAGGACGAAGAACGTAATCGATAAACCCCGCTTGCAGGGTCCGAGGGACTCAGTAAGTAGGTTAATGACCCCTATGACCCACATAGTAACCCTA